TGTGTGTGTGTGTGTGTGTGTGTGTGTGTGTGTGTGTGTGTGTGTGTGTGTGTGTGTGTGTGTGAAGGAGATGTTTATAGTTTGTCTGTTGGGCAACATGATAACGTTTTGTCAACCTGGAACCCACTAAATTGGCCTATAAACACGTACTGTATAAGCGTCAGTTCAGATGATCAAAATAGACACACACACACACACACACACACACACACACAGGCTACAGTATCGTGCCACCTTTTCAACACTGGACATGACCTATTACCCCCAGGACGTATGTGACTTTGCGAGAACATTTTTTTTTTTTTAAAGATTTAAAAACCAACAGAGAATTTTTATTTTTAGGAATCACGGCAGCTGGAGTCTTAGTGATAAATGAATTCGTTCATTGGTGATATATATCTCTGTGTGACAGTTTTATCTGGAGAGATAACTTATCTGGAGTGATGGCCCTTCGCTTGTTACCATTGTGTATTGTAAAATATTAGATTGTTTGCTGAAAATATTTCGCAGGCTGATACCATGACGTCTGATGATTGATAGTGTGAGTGTTTTGTTTCTTTAGTGTTGCTTTTGTGTCTATAGTGCTGCTTTTGTGTCTATAGTGCTGCTTTTGATTCTATAGTGCTGCTTTTGTTTGTATAGTGTTGCTTTTGTTTGTATAGTGTTGCTTTTGTTTGTATAGTGTTGCTTTTGTTTGTATAGTGTTGCTTTTGTTTGTATAGTGTTGCTTTTGTTTGTATAGTGTTGCTTTTGTTTCTATAGTGTTGCTTTTGTTTCTATAGCGTTGCTTTTGTTTCTATAGTGTTGCTTTTGTATCTTTAGTGTTGCTTTTGTTTCTATAGGATTACTTTTGTTTATATAGTGTTGCTTTTGTATCTTTTTAATGTTACTTTTGTTTCTATAGTATTACTTTTGTTTATGTAGTGTTGCTTTTGTTTCTATAGTGTTGCTTTTGTTTCTATAGTGTTGCTTTTGTTTCTATAGTGTTGCTTTTGTTTCTATAGTGTTGCTTTTGTTTATACAGTGTTGATTTTGTTTCTATTGTTTGTATTTAATGTCTCGTGTGTAGTGGGTGCAGAAGTCCACTCTTTAAGAATGTAATGGATAGCGTAGGTTAGGGCAGACTTTGAGAGCCGTTCAGGCAGGTTTTATCAATGTTTCATTTGTAGGGAAAGCGCCAGACCAAATAACTCCGTTGTTTTAGTGTTTCCAGATCATACAACTAGTTGTCTCAATGTTACCAGACCAAATATTTTAGTTGTCTTAGTGTTACCAGATCATACAACTAGTTGTCTCAATGTTACCAGATCATATAACTCAAATTTCTCACTGTTGTCATTTACAGCCTTGTTATCATCGCTATCACCTAATTAGTCATTGTTATCATTAGGTTATTTGGAGCAGTATATTCATCACCATTACGTGCATCTTGCATCCTAACCGCAACCGCTAATTTTGCCCCCCTCATCACCACCACCTTTCATCATCTTCACCACCACCATTCATCATCATCATCACCGTCATCATTATAGCGAACTGCGTCTCTTCCCCCTCCCTTCCCCATTCCCCTATCCTGTGGTGTTTCTCCCTTCCCCATCACCTCCATCATCAGCGGGAGGCTCGGGGAGGGATTGAGGGCTCCGGGCGGAGGTCTGAGGGATGCTGGTACCGGATACAAATTGAAAGAAGTTGGTGTGGCCGGTCTAAAGTCTTAGCCCGTGGGCATCCCGCGGGGGAGTATTAACAAAGTTACTGCTGCAGGGGCTTCCAACTCTTTCATCTTGGTAGAGAACGGCTGCTCGAGACGGCGAAGGAGGGGAGGAAGGTGGGAGGGGAGTGAAAGGGGGAAGGGTAAGGTGGGATGGAGGGGATGAAGGGGGGAAGCTGGAACGTGGACGGGGTGAAGAAGGAAGGGGGGGAGGGGATGAAGAAAGAAGATGGTTCGGGGAGGGAAGTGGAGGGGGAAGGGAGGGGGTGAAAGGGAAAAGAATGGACTGGGAGAGACGGGGTGAAGAGGAAAGTGGGAATGGGAGGAGGAAAAGAGGGCGAGGAAAGAAAATATGGCGACTGGAGAAGGGAGAGAGAAGAAAGAGGAAGAGGGAAGAACCAAAAGTTAAGGGTTAGGATTGAGGTGAGAAGTGAAGAAAGTTGAAAGGGAGAGGAGGAGGAAGGCAAGAGTGAGGGAGGTAATGGTAGGGGGCCTTACCTCACTCCTTCCACCACCCCTTGCCATACCTCACCCTCTCTCACCACACCTCCACTTGCATCACCCGTCCCACCTCCCCTCCCACCTCCCCTCGCCTTACCTAACACCCCTTACCTGACGGCTCCTACCACAACTACCCCACCCCTCTACCTCTCACACCACCATCCTCCCTAACCCCTCTACCACCTCCATCACCGCCCCACCATTAAAGGTCACCAGATGAATTGAATTCCCGGGATTCTCGCCGTAATTAGATAGATTATACCGCTGTTTTTCCTGCCGCGTGACTGACAT